CTTGGAGCAGGTTGTTCCTTTCCTCGTCATCGCTAGTGGCCATAGCTGAGCCAATTTTGTCCAACACGTTCTGGTTCAGCTTGTACTGTTTCTTGTTTCCTTCGAACTTGAACTCCGGTTCTGACTCGTTTGGCTTTTCCTGCTTCAAATGTTTAGCGGCCTCCAGATGCTTCTTGATTTTCTTCAATTCTGTACTGTCATGATTTGAGTTATGCAAATGTAATCTTATCACTTTAGACTTGGTTTAAGCGAATGTTGTAAGATTAGTCAGGCGTCACCAGCCCATGCACGGTTGGGACTGGGAACTGTTTTCAAAATATTATGGGATGTGTTGTGTTGAGAAGAGCACATGGCAAGTGAGATCGATCGAGTTTTGTCATCTGCATCAGTGAGTTTAACCAATTAAAACCCATTGTTTTTGGACTGAAATCAAGTTGCGAGTATATTGTCAGAAGAAACATTTCCAATAAAGTGGCGACCCTGCCAGGACCTGAATGATGCCAACAACTGTAGAAGAGGAGAAAACGATTGTAAACAAACTGAAAGTGTTGAAATTGACACACAAAGGATCAGAAAAAATAGCTGGAACTAAATCGTTAACATCGATTCAGAGACATAGCAAGCTTCTAGCAAGCAAAGTGGAGGAGTGCCACCAAATAAAGGCCAGAGTGCAAGAATTGAAACTTGAATGAGGCGACAACGAGGAGGGCATTAGAGCGTGGAGCACAGGAATTGAAAAGAGGTTGGTGGAGTACGAAGAGGTGGTCAAAGGACTAGGAGAGTTAGAATGAAGTTTAAGGGAAGAAGAAACAAGAGAGATTCAAGAGAAGGAAGAGAAAACNTAGCGGCCTCCAGATCCTTCTTGATTTTCTTCAATTCTGTACTGTCATGATTCAAGTTATGCAAATGTAATCGTATCACTTTAGACTTGGTTTAAGCGAATGTTGTAAGATTAGTCAGGCATCACCAGCCCATGCACGGTTGGGACTGGGAACTGTTTTCAAAATATTATGGGATGCGTTGTGTTAAGAAGAGCACATGGCGAGTGAGATCGATCGAGTTTTGTCATCGGTATCAGTGAGTTTAGCCAATTAAAACTCGTTGTTTGTTTTTGGACTATAATCAAGTTGTGAGTATATTGTCAGAAGAAACATTTCCGACAAAGTGGCGACCCTGCCAGGACCTGAATGATGGCAACAACCGTAGAAGAGGAGAAAACGATCGTAAACAAACTGAAAGTGTCGAACTGGACACATGAAGGATCAGAGAAAATAGCTGGAACTAAATTGTTAACATCGATTCAGGGACATAGCAAGCTTCTAGCGAGCAACGTGGAGGAGTGCCACCAAATAAAGGCCAGAGTGCAAGAATTGAAACTTGAACGAGGTGACGACGAGGAGGACATTAGAGCATGGAGCACAGGAATCGAAAAGAGCTTGGTGGAGTACGAAGAGGCGTTCGAATGACTAGGAGAGTTAGAATGAAGTTTAAGGGAAGAAGAAACAAGAGAGATTCAAGAGAAGGAAGAGAAAACCAGATGGGAGATTAAGAAGAAGTTTGAGGCAAAAGCAGATGAGAAGGCGAGTGATGCAGGTAAACCGAAAGCTAAATTACCGAAACTTGTGATAACAAAATTCCAGGGAACCCACCTAGACTGGCAGAGGTTTTGGGGGCAGTTTGAAGCAGAGATAGATCAATCAGACATTGGCCCAGTTGCCAAATTGTCATACTTGAAACAGTTGCTTGTACCAAGGGTCAGAACCACTATAGATGGGTTACCTTTTACCAGTGAGGGCTATACGAGAGC